ACCCCTCTGCTCATCACTATTATTAAATGATGTTACCGACCGAATGCTTTTTCGAAATATTTAATAACTTTCGGGATGATTATAGAAGCTTATTTTCATGCCTTTGCGTAAACCGTCAATGGTGTAGACTTGTTGTACCAATTTTGTGGCGTGAACCAAATCACCATTTTAAAAATTCAAAACTTATGGAAATATTACTTTTAACGTTAAATGATGATGAACAAGCCAGACTAATTCCCTTTAAAATTACCCTTTCAGAATATCTAGAATATCATCAAAAACCACTCTTTGAATATACAAATTATATCACATCTATTAACAACGATTTGGATGAAGGAATTAGAAATTGGCTTCATCATAAAGGATTTCAAAATAATATTAGCCTTGTCTTTAAGTGTTCTTTAATTGCAATGTTTCTACGAACTGGTATGAGTCTTAAATATATAAGTCTTGATCAATCTATTTGTGATCAATTTATATTTAAAAACCTTTATGAGAACACTACTATTACCACTATGGTTTTACATAATATTTATCGTGATCCTAAGACAATGGATGCATTAGCAAAGATCCTTTATAGGAATTCTAATTTGACTACTTTGGATCTTTCAAATAATAATTTTGGATCAAAAGAATTAAAAGCATTAGCAGATGCATTTTGCAAGAATAATACCCTAGAAAATTTGCGTTTTGGACATAATTATCTTGGACCAGAAGGTGGAAAAGTGTTAGCAGATATATTTTGCAAGAACACTACGTTGAATTCTTTGTATCTTCAATCTAGTGGCCTTGGATCAGAAGGTGGAAAAGCATTAGCTAATGCACTTTGCAAGAACAATTCTTTGACTGAATTGAATCTTTGGTATAATTATCTTGGACCAGAAGGAGGAATAGCATTGGCTGATGCACTTTGTAAGAACGACACTCTGACTACTTTATATATTCAAGAGAATATGCTTGGACAAATAGGTGGAAAAGCATTTGCTAATACGCTTTGCTTGAATAATTCTCTGACTTATTTGGATGTTGAAGGTAATAATCTTGGCCCAGAAGGTGGAAAAGCATTAGCTGATGCTCTTTATAAGAACACTACGTTGACTTCTTTGTATTTGGGATCGAACCGACTTGGCCAGAAGGTGGAAAAGCATTAGCTAATGTTCTTTGCAAGAACACTACCCTGACTTCTTTAGATATTGGTAACAATAAACTTGATCCAGAAGCAGGAAAAGCATTAGCTGATGCTCTTTGCAAGAACACTACACTGACTTCTTTGGATCTTTATTGTAACCAACTTGGAATCGAAGGAGGAAAAGCATTAGCAAATGCTCTTTGCAAGAACATCACACTAATTTCTTTGAATCTTCAAAGTAATGAACTTGGATCAGAGGGAGGAAAAGCATTTGAAGATGCACTATGCAAGAATACTAGGCTGACTTTCCTAGATATTCAATCCAATGGCATTTTTAACTTTATTAAATTAAAATCTAATAATACTCGTAGTTTAATCTTATACTAATAATGATAATTTTTCTGTTATTATTATTCTGATTAGTCATTTGTTGCACAAATTTTTATACAATTAAGTTTTCATTCTTTTTAAGAATTACTTAAAAACTCAATAGAAAAATAACCTCAAATTGAAAAATAATCACGCAGGAAAATAACACCTTTAGTCCCACTACGCAGGATTAATTTTCGATTATTTAGAATTACTTGATATTATAGGGCATAACTGTTTTTAAAATATTATTTATATGTGATGCAGGAAGCTTATATTTGTCAATTGCATACTTATAAAAATGTAGTATCTTTCAAATATCATATTCAAAGATGAAGTTAGGAAATTATTCAATACAGATAGACTCGATTCCGGTTTTACGAGTGTTTTAATAATCCATTCCACGTTAATTATTCTGATTGCGTAAACAAAGCGATTCTTTATTAAAAATTCTCGAAATAACGTGAATGGGCATAATCGTGCTCTCTAAAAATTGTATTTTAGTTTTGAATAGCGCCCACGTATGCCCAAAAATAATGCTCACTTTATAATAACTCTACTCATACAGTATGTTTTTTTAACTTTCATAATCAATACTTGCCACTTGATGAAACCTTTTTAGTTTTTTATTCCACTATAAACACGGAGACATTTCGAGGGCTGGAGCCTAATCATTAAGTCTTACGCTTTAAGATCAAACTTAATATTTAGACTTTATAACTTGCTATTTCTTATTACATTTGTAATAAACCCATAAAGAATGCAATCTTTGTTCTTCCATCATTCTACACATTTTGTCCTAGGCTTTGTAATTTGCCAAAAGAAAAAGCACTATCGAAAAGAAAATCAATAAGTGTATGAACTTTTGATACACAAATGTAAGACCAGCTATAAATTCCTGATTTATTACAACTTTAAACCTTGTGGCTTACCAATTGTAATTGCCTAAGCAAGGAATAAAGGAACTGCACGCGAAAACAAGTTCCTGATTTCCTTCTCTGTATATTAATGGGTCGAATTGGTATTACTTGGTAATGATTTGAAATAGATAGTGTTGGACCGTATAATTGTCATTTTAGTCAGAACTGTTGTAGGTAATGAAGATGACCTTCCTAGTCATATATAATATTAACAAAAAATTTTTAATCGAACTTGGCCAGGTGGTTGTTAAGATATTTTCACGTAAAGTTTACGAAACATTTGACGCAGCTTCAAGACTTTTTTTTTTTTTTTTTTTTTTTTTTTTTTGCAGAGGTATCTCAACAACCACCCGATGTATTTTTTTTTTATTGGAATTCTATGAATTTGAAAATTTAGATAAATTAATCGAACTTGGTCAGGTGATTATTGATACAAAGTATTAAAGTTTTTTTTATTTTTACGAATAGTACACTAAATGTGAACGTACTCAAATTAATCAATCGCATGATTCTGGAAATTAGCTGTTGTTTGTTGAACGGTAGGATAATGTTTAAGCACATGATTGACAAACTATGTTAAACTTTAGTAGTTGATATCGTGTTAATTAAGTTCTTAGTACTGTAGTATTGATTCAGTTCGGTAGGATGTAGAATACTCAGAAGACAACCATTTTTATCGGGTGGCACATATCCGCGTGTGTATCAATACATTGCTCGTTACTCTACATTACCCCTATGATCTTGCATAACACTCATCTTTCTACATTCTTCACACATACTTGTGTACACATATCTCTCCTCATATTTTTTTTTTCGTTCGTTGTCTCAGCTGCGTGTAGAGTGAAGAAGATAGCTCTCCTCAATAGTAACGCCATGTAGTTTTGTATCTAATTTATTTTAATACATTTTATTTCACGTTTCTTTAGCCCCATATTCGATATAGATCCACATTCGTGTAATTCGTGTCATGTCCCAAGGTAGGATTATGAATTTATGACTTTCAAATATTGAACTCTGAACCATTAGGTTCTATTTTATTTTTTGAGGTAAAATTCCCTCTATATATATCTTTTTAATACATACAACGAAATTCTAAATATTCTAGTTAACTATTATTCGACTTCTTACATTTCCGGAATCACTCGTACCGCGTAAGAACCGCAGTATCTTCCGGGGTCGTCTTCAGAATTTGGACATGACAATGAAAGCTATACGTAATCTAAGGGCGTAACAAATACCAATTATAGTGTATTTAATAATTGAAGTGAATTACGTATGCTAATACGTAGCAAGTTCAATTTCTATAAATTGACTTTTGCGTACATATATACTTATGTGAGTGCTTTTAAACAAATCAAGATGAAAATGTACGGACTTATTTTCGTTGCAAATAATTCTCCAAAACTTGTCCCTTTACAAAATGCTTCTGCCGAGGCAAACAATAAATAATATTTTTACTTAACTAGTGATGTAAATAAATTTGTACCTATATTTGAAAGTTATATTTATGCCCATGAGTGTTAATTGATTTTTGGCCCGAATTAAGCTTAATTTAGGCCAAAATTCAAAATTACACCCTTGCGCGTTATTACGCGAAAATACGATAAATGTAGAATTGCGCACCATAAATACCAAATATATACGTAGCAATAGTGATAACAATAATATTTACATTACGGCGCATTTGTATACTACCCCAAAATTTGAAAACTTTGATTTTAACTAAGATAATCAATGTTCCCAAGTTATAATGCGTCATTTTAATAAATTCATATGTCCAATAAGATGCGTCAGGTGTGGGAAGATAGGTTAGCCTGTGGGGAAGATGGGTTAGACGCATTATCGGTACAGACCAGGGGTTCAAAAAAAATTTTTGATGTTTACCATTGATTGATTAATATGTATATAATTTGGTAACTAAAATTTAATTTCGGGGACCAAATGCCTGGATTTGCAAATGCGCCGTAATGATTATTTTAATAAATTCGTGCATAGTAATTAGATAACCTACCAGCATTATACTGCTTTGCCGGCATTATAAGTATACATAAAAAATCATGCGCACAATTCGCATGTCATTCGCGGTAAAATCACTACCCAAATCTTTCAATTATCTTAACTAGCCAATCAAATTTCATGATCAGGTGTAACGTAACACGATCAGGAAAATACAAACAAACGTTCGCTTTGTAAAAAATCGGTCATAACTCAAAATTTAGTTTATTAAACCGTCTTTTGCGCACTAATAAAAAAAATTTCTCGCAAAATTTTGGTATGATAAACACTTTCAAGTCATACTTAATAGCAAATCACAGACCCTAATCTAATAACGTGAATTTTTACTTTGAAAAAATTTTTGGTGGCAAATTAACCAGGGTACGCATTGCACATCACTAGTTACGTTCTGGAACCAAAAAAAAAAAAATTGCTAGTCATAAAAAAATATTTTGCAAACATATTATACATACTACAAGAATATTTTTATTTTTATTTTTTTGACAAAATATTGTTTATGGATCTGTGCACGTACAAACCCAAAATATAATAGTTTTGGAATTGTATGACAAGTCTAATGATTATTATTAATGCTGTTCATTCAAATACAAGGAAAAAGGGGTCGCTGATGAATCGTTTCGATTCAATGATCCAAGATCCCAATTGTCCTCGACAGTCCTCAAAAATGAGTAATGGGTATAATGTGTTGTGTCATTGTGATAATTGTCTTTAGTGACAGGATCACCGAGGAGAGATGCATAAATATGATTAACTGTGTCATTATCATTTGCTGATTCATCAAACACGGTGAAAAATAGAGTCTTATGGGTAAACGAAGTCATTTTGAGTTTAGGTTCAAGCCAATTTTTAAACCATGCCGACGCGTATGAGATATTAGTGTCATGGGCGTTATTATTTTGATTTGGGACGTAATAAACTAGTTGTGGAACTTGATTATTCTTAATATCATCATCAAGCCGGTTAGCATTTACGACTTTGGCGCAACGGGTAGCATTTTTAGTAATCGGAGTAAACGAAAAAAATGGATTATGTTTCCTTGCATAAAGTCTGGAAGCACCGACTGTTGCATTCAAAAAACAACCTTCGGCTAAAGTTTAAAATTGAAAACATGGTAAATACTGAAATATATGAATATGTGTGTGTATTATATTTTATATAGCATTGTCATTTAAAAAAATATATATATGGTGACTTACGATAGTCTTCCATGTAACATTTCCACGAAACCCCCTTCTTTTCAAGAAGGTCTACTAACGTTTCGTCGTCGATATCGTAATTCTCATCATCCAAAATTCCGTAAGTTGAACCGGCAATTTGTGCAATGTAATTTGGCTAAGTAAGATGAAGTAATTATTAAATTTATGGGACATTTATTAATAATCATAATCGCGACAAAAGAATTTACCTCAGAAGGATGCTCCACGGCATAATATTCCGACAGGAGTACGCCGTTTGGCCGTGTCGTTATTTCCTTTAAATATGAATTTGCGATAGCATCAGTATAATTCGTATTTTCAAAGATGATTAGGACGATTCGATCAAACCATTTCCCTTTCGCAGTCGCAGCCATTACGATATTGGAATTACTTATGAGATGAATAGTGACATAACTTAAGATAAGAATAGTGAGGATAATTGTAAGTAATTGGGAAAATAAATCGCTCATTTTTTTTTTACAGGTTTCAGTAGAATTACTGTGATTATTATTATTTGATTGAATACTGAATGGATAATACTAGCACGTTCAAGGTATTTATAATCGCAAATTCTTAAATTTTTTAACTTTGTAAGATCCTAAAAAGTTAAAATAATGAGGATATTTATAATCATACATGAATGGTGAGAAATTTTTGATTAGATTTTCCAATTCGGAAATTAATTTCGTAAATGTATTTGAAATTTATGACGAAAATTCCCATATAACGTATAATAAAAACGAACATTAATTATATACATACGTACGTACGTATTTTCTTTATGTACTACCAACGTCTTCTAAATTGACATTATAAAAAAAAGTTCAATAGCCAATTAAATTTTAAGGTGAAAATACAAGATCTTATTCCTTTGCAGAATATACAATTTGTGCAGATTTATTTTCTGAAAAAAAAAGTCATTCGTATTGGTATATGTAATGCAATTGTAATACGCACAGTACGTACGCACGACTCGGAATTATTCCTCTGTTTCCTGATCTAAAAATATTGTCATCACCAATAGAAATTATCCGCTATGCCCCATGAAACCTTTATTCTTAATTGAACGTCTATCCAGAACGGAATTCCTTTATAATACAGTCAGAGTCCCCCCACCTAAGTGCGCATCCTATGAAACACCTCCCTAAATGCACGTCTTCTCTTGGGCCCAACTAATATTACAGCTATAGATTTGTACCTCCCTAAATGCAATACCTCTCTAAGTGCATGTTTGACTAAATTTCCTTATAAGAATTATAAATTACTGTATTATATGACCAACAACAAAAATTTGTTACACCATTGAACAAGGTGTTATGATCCTTAATATTTTTTTCGAATCTTGATTTTTTAGTAATTTATTCTTCAATATTAATACGGAAATTATTTCTTTATGCAAACATTCGAAATGGTAACAAATTCAAAATTTTAATTATGGGCGCTTCATGAAATCAATAAAATAAATATAGCGATAGTAATAGGTGACGCTTAAATCAATTATTATTCAATTTTATTAATATCATTTACACTATGTCACCCCAGAATTGGTGTTTTCTTAAGATTTTTATAATAAACTTTGGTGTAGCCTATGAAGATTTTTAAATTTCAAATACGGTGGTGGAAAATGGGTCAGACAGAGGAAGTTGTGTTATAAGTGATATCCATATAGTTAGGATCAGGGTTGGCAATGGACTATGATACGTTTTGAAAAAAAAAATTTCAATGAACATTGTCCGGGTCAATAGACATATTCCATTGGCAGTACTAAGCTACATTTTTGGCCCATTGTCCAACCTTGGTTAGGAGTGCCAAGAATTCTTTTTGGGGCTTAGTATTGATTGATTATTAACAAATTGTGACTAAATATTAGGCTTAGAGGTCATATATTTACCAAATTACAAATTAATTTCATTAATTCACCGCAATGATTTCTCTTAGTTCAATTGTTTTTTTAACATATTTCAAATTTTGGCTTTCAGGTTTGTTATTTGTTATTTACTAGATTCATCCC